CAGGCGTTAACCCTTTGGTGGCTGGATTGTGGGACAGCCTGGGGAGAGGCTATACGGTGATGGGGGTAGTTAGGAGGATATTACCTATTGGTGCAGAAATGTTTCAGCATGACTGATACCAGCTGAATACTAGCTGAATGTCAGCCTGCCCGTCCTGCCACAGGCTCCCCAGGCCTCAGACCCCTCCCTGCTCTTTGTCCCCTTTCCTGCCCAGGTCCTGCCTCCTGCAGGCTGACTCAGAGCGCCTCCTACAGCTGTGGATCAGTGCTGTGCAGAGCAGCATTGCCACAGCCTTCAGCCAGGCCCACCTTGATGATACCCCGTGGGGTGCAGGCCAGGTACCTTAACACGGGGCTTCAGGGCCAGGCTTCCCAGGGAGATGGGACATCCCTTTCCCTAGGCCCCATAGACATTCTCTCTTCTCCTGTCTGCTCCAGGGCTCAGGACACCCGGTCATGGGCCCTTCTGCCACCCTGGGCTCTGGCAGGACCGGCAGGGGAAGGGATCCTGGCGGAGCGGGGCATGTGGCAGCCCAGGTGCAAAGTGTGGATGGCAATGCCCAGTGTTGTGACTGCCGGGAACCAGCGCCCGAGTGGGCTAGCATCAACCTTGGTGTCACCCTCTGCATCCAGTGCTCCGGCATCCACAGGTCCCTCCCCAAGACCCCAAGCATGGCCCCCATTCCTTCTGGCTGCAGGGCTGGAGGGGACCAAGACAGAGCCCATCACACAGGCTCCTCCTTTCTCACTTTGCCTGGCTCCCCCCTTAGATTCTGGCTGTCACCGGACACAGGTCTTGACTGAGCCTGTGGGTCACAGGGGGCTCTGTGGGAGTAGGCAGTGGGAGACACAGGCCCAGCCTCTCAGCGTCCTGGTCTAGACAGGGTTGGGGGACACCCAGAGTAATTTACTGGCTTGATTGGAGGAGGCATGAGGTCAGGGCTGCTGAGGACGGGTGAGCCAGCGAAGAGCAGAGAGGGAAGAGGTTGTAAGGCAAGTCTATGCGGCCCTCACCCTGAGTCAGCCTGGTAGAAGAAGGGAAGGGGAATGGTAGGAAAGAATTGTCTAGGCCAAAGTGCCAAGAAAGAAAGGAGGTGAATGGAGGGGACTTAAGATGATATGTAGGAGAAAGGAGAGGGGATAGTGAATAGACAGGATCCTGCCAGATGTGGATCAAGGCTACATGGCCCCAGCTGCCCTGCTGCCTCCCGGCCCAGTGCCCCTGGGCGGTCCCCCATGCAGGACCTTGTCTCCAAGTCCTTTCAGGAGCAGCACCAGCAGCTGCCCCAGCTGCCGCCTCACATAGGGCCTGACTTCCACTCTGGTCCTCCAGGAGCCTCGGAGTTCATTTCTCCAAAGTCCGGTCTTTGACGCTTGATTCGTGGGAGCCGGAACTAGTGAAGGTGACTTGGGGGTGTTATGAAAGCGGGGAGGTAGCATGGGGTGAGGACAGGGCTGCAGAGCCCCAAGGGCTCAGGTGCTGTCCCCACCCTACCTGACTGTCTGCCTCTGCCTTGGTGCCTGAAGCTTATGTGCGAGCTGGGAAACGTGGTCATCAACCAGATCTATGAGGCCCGAGTGGAGGCCATGGCAGTGAAGAAGCCAGGGCCCAGCTGCTCCCGGTGAGGCTGTGGGGAGGGGTTGGGGCTGCCCTCTTTGCAGGGAGGGAGGAGGGCCTGGAAGGGGAGGAGGGAAGGCTGTCCTCTTCTTCCCCTCTTCAGGCAGGAGAAGGAGGCCTGGATTCATGCCAAATACGTGGAGAAGAAGTTCCTGACCAAGCTTCCTGAGATCCGGGGGCGGAGAACTGGCCGAGGGCCCCCAAGGGGGCATCCTCCTGTGCCCCCAAAGCCTTCTATTAAGCCCCAGCCAGGGAGCTTCAGATCCAAGCCAGGTATAGGGTTGGTTGGGCATTCATTGTGCACCTGCTGTGTGCTCGGCGTTATGCCAAACCTGGTGGGGAGGTTCAGAGTATAAGGCCCAGGCCTTCCCTTTGAGAATGCTGGAGGAGCCAGACCACACCAGCACTGGTTTTAGAAGGTAAGAGTTCTGGGGGTTATAGTGAAGAATGGGAAGGAGCATGGAGCTGGGAGTAGGCAGGGAGGCTATGTAAGGGTGTCGTCCGCATGAGAAAAGTCAGAAGTGAGAATGGGCTAGGGTCTCCGGAGGTCTGTGAAGGCGGGTGTGGTTGGCTAGAGCAGAGGGAGCCAAGAGAGCAGAGGTGGACCTTCAGTGAGCCAGTTCACCCACAGCACCCCAGTCAGGGGGGTTGGACAAGAGGAGGTGGATTGATGCTTTCTAACCCTAGGGGCCCCGCACACATGCTCACACACACCTCCACTTCCCACCAAAGGCCCCGAATCTTGAAGGCCTCCCCACAATTGAGAAGTGACCTACCCCATTACAACATCAGGGGGCTTTGCTGATTGTTTTCTTCCCAGACTCAAAGCTGATTCCTCCTAACAGAGCCACCCTCAGAGGACCTGGGCAGCCTGCACCCTGGGGCCCTGCTGTTCCGAGCTGCTGGGCATCCTCCATCCCTCCCCACCATGGCTGATGCCCTCGCCCATGGGGCCGATGTCAACTGGGTCAACACGGGTCAGAAGAACACCACACCACTGATCCAGGCCACAGCTGCTGTGAGGGTCTTGCCAACCTCCCCACCCTGCCCTAAGGCTCCTTCTCTTCTTCCCTCCGCCTGACTCTCTTACCCTTCCCTGCGCCCCATAGGGAGTGATAACCAACAGAGACTGTTAAGACTGTGTGATTTGGAGGCAGAAAACCTGGGTTTGAATCCAGGCTCTCACCACTTATAGTTGTGAACCTCTCTGTGCCTCAGTTTCCTCGTCTGAAAAAGAGGGATCCCATACCTCAGTAGGTTGTGTTGTGGATGTAACGTATGGATGCATGTAAAGAGCTAGAGCAGAGCCTGACACCGAGCTGTATCCCTAAACTCCCGATCCCACACCCCACCCTCTGAACTGGCCCCACTCTAAAAATCTATAAAATCTGCCTCTAAAGATGCCACTCTCTCTCCCTATTCTCCACTTCTCGATACAGAATTCTCTTCTGGCCTGTGAGTTTCTCCTCCAGAACGGGGCGAATGTGAACCAAGCAGACAGCCATGGCCGGGGGCCGCTCCATCATGCAACCATCCTTGGCCACACTGGGTAGCAGTGGCAGCGATGATGGCCTTGGGGAGGAAGGTTCCAGACGCGGTGAGCTGCTGACTGAATCTGGCTATCCTCTCTAGACTGGCCTGCCTGTTCCTGAAACGCGGAGCTGACCTGGGAGCTCAGGACTCTGAAGGCAGGGACCCTTTGACCATCGCCATGGAAACAGCCAACGCTGACATCGTCACCCTGTAAGGATGCCCGAGGGGTGGGGTTGGCAAGCGCACCTTTCACAGGGGTGTGCCTAATGCCGAGAACCCAACTTGCCCAACAAAGCCCGAGGAAGGGAGGGGTCAGCTCCTGGACCAGGCAATGAACAGGATGCTCCAAGTGCTGACTGGGGTGCAGGGCAGGGATGGGGCCTGCAGGGCCAAGGATGGTGAGCTCATCCTGAGAGTCATCATTCATCAACATTGTTGTCAGGCATCTTTTTAGCACTAGACCCTGGGCGAACAGAGGAATAAACAACCCAGCTCAAGGAATGGGAAGTTTGGGGCGGGTGGCTGGTGTGCGTGAGGAGGTTGTCATTCATTCCTTAATTCTCTCCCCTTTAGGCTTCGATTGGCAAAGATGAGAGAGGTCGAAGCTGCCCAGGGCCAGGCAGGTACAGTACCTACCTCCCCACCCCACGTTCATCAGGGCCATCACTGTAACTCTGGGCGTGTGACCTGTGACTTGTACCCCTCAGGTCCAGCTTCACTGATTAAGTCTATTACTTATTCAGCAAATACATATGTATTGCGCTTTTTGCACACGCCAGAGCCTCAGAACAGAAAAGGCAAGGGCTGTGCCCGGCTGGCTCAGGTGTTTCCTTCTTCACTCAGGACCTCACAGGCCCGCCCCTGTCCGCCCCCCGCCCCAGCCGCACACTCTCCTGAGCTCGGGGCCCAGCTGTCCCGGCTCCCAGCCCTTCCTCCCTCCCCTCAGGAGACGAGACGTATCTCGACATCTTCCGGGACTTCTCCCTCATGGCATCGGACGACCCGGAGAAGCTGAGCCGGCGTTCTTACGACCTCCACACGCTGTGATTCCAGGCCTTCGCGGTCCCGCTCCCCCTCCCCCCGCCCTTCCCAACCCACCGCCAGCCTGTGGCTATTAAAGCCTTTGTGCTTTGCTCTTCCCTACGTAGTTCCTTCATTGGGCGCCACCTCCGGGCCCGCAGGGTGTTGGGCGCTTCCCAGCGGGAATCACACGAGGGGCCCCTCCCGGGGAGTGAAGCGGCGGCTGCAGCCTCAGCCCCAGCGCCGGGAGGCCCTGAGGCGGGGCCCCCTGGGCTCAGGCGACGGAGGAGAGGCTGCTCGTGTGGGCTGGGGCCCGCCGTCCCTTAAAGGGGGGCTGGCGTCGGGTCGGGTCGGGCCGGGCCGGGCCGGAGAGGCTGGCTCGGCCACCCCGGCCCAGAAGCATCCCCGGAATGCGGTGGCTCAGCACCCGCCCCCTCAGGAATTCCCCGCGGGAGAGAGGGGAAGGGAACTGCCGGTGCCCAAGCCCTGGAAGGCCGCGCCTGTGTTTTCTCCGCGTGGCGGGACTGGGGACTCCCGCCCCCGCGGAGCTGCAGACGTGAGGTCAGGCACACCTGAGACCGGCCAGGCCGCCGCCGCCACATCCGGAGCGACGCGCCGCCGCCGGAGTCACCCTCCGGACCCCACCCCTGCTGGCGTCCCGGTCCAGCCCGTCCTCCCAGTGCCTCCAGTTCGCCACTCTCAGCTCCCACCTCCACCCGAGCCCTGCGTGCCCCACGGGGGCGGGGGGCGGGCGCCCCGGGGGCGGAGCTGTCTCTTAAAGGACCAGGGGCTGCAGCCCTTCGGCCACTTCCTGGGGGCGGAGAGGACTTCAGCAGCTGGTGAGACACCCCGAGAAGGCGGTAAGGCGGCGGCGCCCCGGTCTGGAGACTCCCCGCTGCTTCTATCAGAGTCCTGGGACAATCGCAGCTCCGACTTAGGGTGCATCCTCGCTCCCCAGCGGGTTCAGAGGCACCTCCGCCATCAGCTCCAGGGAGCCCCGCCTCCATCTCTTGGAACCCGCGCCCGAGCCAGGCCAAGGCCAGGCCAGTGACTGGCTCCCGGAACCCTGCGTGGACTCGCTCACGGAGACGGCGCTCTGCCCCGAGAACTCAGAAACTGGACCCTTCAAAGAGTCAGCCTTGTACTCGACCGTCACCTGCTGGTTGGATTCCGGAAAGCCACTATCTAAAGACCACAGAAAGGAGTCGCAGACCACCCAGAACTGGATGCGTCTGGACCTAAACCTCTCTTCCGCGTGGTCTTTCCTGTGATCTTTTTCATCCGTTCTCTAAACCCTTCGGGCTTTGTGTGCCCGGGAGCCGTCCCCCACCACCAAAGTAGCGGGGGTGAACCCCGGATCTTGCTGCCTTGTATTCCAGCCAGTGCCTCCAGCTTAGAGTCTGAACCTTACGACACAATTCTGCACACACCCAGGAAGTCCTGCCTTTTCTTCTCTTTCGGTGTCTCCAGTACTCCCCAAAATTTCCCCTCCTCCTGTGCCCTCTTCACCCCCCTCCTTTGGGGGCCCCGTGACCCTGAATGTGGGGGGCACGCTCTATTCCACTACTTTGGAGACCCTGACTCGCTTCCCAGACTCCATGCTGGGGGCCATGTTTAGGGCTGGCACTTCCATTCCCCCCAACCTCAACTCCCAGGGAGCCGGCTACTACTTCATAGACCGAGATGGCAAGGCCTTCCGGCACATCCTCAATTTCCTGCGGCTGGGCCGCCTGGACCTGCCCCTAGGATATGGGGAGACATCGCTTCTCAGGGCAGAGGCTGACTTCTACCAAATCCGGCCCCTCCTAGATGCCCTGCGGGAACTGGAAGCTTCTCAGGGTACCCCTGCACCCACAGCCGCCCTGCTCCACGCAGATATAGATGCCAGCCCCCGCCTGGTGCACTTCTCTGCTCGCCAGGGCCCACATCACTATGAGCTGAGCTCTGCCCAGGTGGACGTCTTCCAAGCCAACCTCTTCTGCACTGACCCAGAGTGTCTGGGTGCCATGAGGGCCCGATTTGGTGTGGCCAATGAAGAGAGAGCCGAGGCAGGACCACACTTTCGTCTGGAGTGGGCCCCGCGCCCCCCAGAACTTCCAGAAGTGGAGTACAGGAGACTGGGGCTGCAGCCACTGTGGACCGCGGGGCCAGGAGAGCGACGGGAAGTGGTGGGCACACCGGGCTTCCTGGAGGAGGTGCTGCGGGTGGCTCTGGAGCATGGCTTCCGTCTAGACTCTGTTTTCCCTGACCCTGAAGACCTGCTCAACTCCAGATCTCTGCGCTTTGTCCGGCACTGAGAACTGAGAACTGGAAATACTGCCCTCAGTTTGACTGTAGGGGAGTGGAAGGAGAAGGAAGGGGGCAGCAAAGAAGGGGATAAAGGTTCCCCTGAAGCCTCTCCCTAGCTCTGCTTTAGGAGCTGTGAGAGCCGGAGGTCCCATTGCACCTGACTGGAGCTCAGACGTGGACAGGACTCCCCACACCCAAGCCCACTGAGGGCTTACAGTTGGCACAGAGGGTATGGACTGGTGCTGATCCCGGGGGGGATGGGGGAGTTTCCCCTGGCTTGTTCTCACCTGAGGCTGGGGACCTCCAGTTTCCTTGGTTGGAGCTCAGTATTCAGGGGTCTGGAAAAGTGGGGATACTTCTCTGCCCACGCTAGGCCTAGCAGAGCCGTGCAGGGACACTGAGGTTGGGAGGAAGAGGGACTTTGCATTGCTCTAATGTGGTCTCCTGGACTGTGACCTCTCTTCCTGGAGCTGAGTGCCCTGGCCTGACCAATGACAAGGCCAGAACACTCTGGAACATGGGCAGGGAGATTCTTTGCTGTGTCCCAAGCCACCTACTGAGGGAGAGAGAAAGGCTACACTCCACCGCAGGCTGGCATGAAGGAGCTAGGAGAATCCCATTAACTATGGCGTAGAGCATTCCTCTGGAGACCCAAGTGTTTTTAAAGGATCTGTTTTTGAAGGTGGAGCTGGCCATGGGGAAGAGGGTGGCATCTTCTTGGGCCTCGGCCTCATTTCCTTCGTGTGTGCGTGCGCGGCAGCATGCATCCGAATGATGTGAGTCTCTGACATCCTGGCTCCCATCTGCGTTGCTGGCGATGGTGTCTGTCTGCTGGCCTTTCTGTGGTCTCTACTTGTCCAGACCTGTTTGGGGATGAGAAACTGTTTGGGCACCAGGTGTGTCTATGGGTGTGAGTAGACTGACAATTAATAACTTAACCACAAGGTGTGTGTGTGTTTACGCACACCTGTGCACTCGCATCACCAAGTATGCAGGAGGGGCCTGTTGGGATTTGAGTCACTAGGATCTTCCCAGAGAGAGAGATAAGAGAAGTCACGGGGATTAGTAGGGCCTTGGAGACCTTTATAGCATTCTTGGTTGCTAAGGCAACCAGAGGCCTGTTGCTAGGATATCGCTGGGGAAAGACCCAAGGCTGCCCAGGGCAGAGAGAAGCTGAACAGAAGGGTTCGGGACAGTCGGGGAAGCTATGGGAAGGGATGGGATTTCTGCATCCCTGAAGGGATGGAATGCTCATAAACAACTTCTCTTGGGGAGTCGCTTATTATTTATCACTTACAAGAAGAAAAATAAAGTTGCTTTTGGAACCACAAATCTTGTAAAGGCTGCTGAGGGCCATGTTGGGGGTGCTGTCCCTTTTGCGCAGAAGTCCTGCTTTTTCTGCCCATCTTCTATTAGAGACATCTCCCAGTCCCCAGTTCCTTGGGCCCAGGTTTACCCTGGCCAAGCATGGAGCAGTGGCACTATTTTGGAATGCTCTAGAACCTCCAGCTGTTCTGGAACACTACAAAGGGCTGGAACCAGGATCACAGAGCCTTCCTAATCCAGGTGGGGCCAGCTCCCCCTTCAGCTCCCCCCATTGGGCTTCATGTGGATGCTGGCACTGGGCGGGGCTTTCCTGGCAGCTGCCCAGGCCTGCGTCTTCTGCCGCCTGCCAGCCCATGACTTGTCGGGCCGCCTGGCATGGCTCTGTAGTCAGATGGAGGCCCAGTGGAAGGACTGTGAGACCTCCTGGAGCTTCTCAGCCTTTGCCTTAGGTAAGCCCAGACATCCAGGGACGGGCCCATCAACAGTCACCCCCATGCCCCAAGCAAGGTAACATGCGGCTTCCCAGTTATGCCCTTCAGCTGTCACCTCAGTCCACAGCCCTCCCTGGACTCACTGGCCTCTCCCTCGGGGAGAGCTTCTTTGGACCTCGGGAAAGTCAAGAATCTTCTGGGCTGGTGAGGAAATCCCTAGTCCTTGCCCATCTCCACAGATGAGGGGTCCATGAACAAAATCACAGAGAAGACACACAGAGTCCTGAGGGTCATGGGTGAGATCACTGGGCAAGGCACCATCAAAGGGCTTGGATGGGCACTGGGGAGGGGGGTGGAAGGAAGGGGCTGGGGAGGCAGGGAAAGGAGGGAGGGTGGAGACAGGAGGGCATGACTGGGGAGGTGCTGGGCGAAGGCATGGCCCCCAACTGGTACTGTCGGGGGCCCTGAGCAAAATGGCTCTTCTCTGCCTCCCCAGAGATCAAAAGGTCTTTCTCCTCACTCCCTTTATATTGGCAATGGCTTCAAAAGACCAAGCTCCCTCAATACACCAGAGAAGGTACTAATGGGGGGAGGGATCGAGGGGTGCCTAGGATCTCGGGCAAAGGGGCATGTGGCTGAACTGCTCACCTACGCCCGCCCCTCCTTGTCTTCCATTTCAGCTCTCTGCACTCCTGCCTGTTGTGAGTAGAAAAGGAAGGGGTAGCGAGGAAAGGGGCGTTGGGGAACCTGAGGAGAGCCTGGCAGTTAGCAGGAGCAAGTGGGAGCCTCCGGGAGGGTGGGGTTTGGGCCTCCCCTCCCCAGCTCTGCTCCCGCTGTCTCCTGCAGGGGGCAGCACCATCCTGTACAACTGTTCCACCTGCAAGGGCTTTGAGGTGCACTGCTGGCCCAAAAAACGCTGCTTCCCAGGTCCTTACTCCCTGCCCCTGCCTCACCTCACCCAGATCTCTGAGCTCCTAGGCTCCTCCAGTGTCAACGGGTGGGGTCCTCTTTCATTGTTTCCTGGGTTCCCTGCAGGGAGTCACGATCTTTGGGAAGCCAGGATTCTACTTCTCTCTGTCTTTGGAACTGTCCTGTTCCTGGGTCTCATGAGCCTCGTGGTAGAGTGAGTTGGGGGTTAAGGGCAGTCTCATGGCCTCTGACCCACCCAGTACCTTCCACCACCCACCCTTCCTCTTTCCCTCTCAGCCCCCTTCCCTTCCCTTCCCTGCCCTGCCCTGCCCTGCCCTGCCCAGACCTCCCACCTCCACCTTCCCTCAGGTTCCACCTCCTTGAAGCAAAAAGTGACTTATGAAGATGCTGACAGGCCCCAGCTTCCAGCTGTAAGGAGAGTGTACTCACAACTTCCACTTCCCATGCACTGGGCGGTGGGGGCGGGGGGCACAGCCAGCCTGAGTTCCAGCCCCAAAGGTTCAGTCTTCTAGACTCTGAAACACAGCTGTCTCCACAGCCCCACTGTGAGCGGGCCTCCAGGAACCCAGGCACCCACAACTGGAAAGTTTCTCCTCTCCCGCCCTCAACCAATCAGATAGGGCGGCCACCAGTGCCAGGAAAATAACTACAGAAGGAAAGAATCCCCTCCACACGCGCCGCCACTCCCCCACGCCTTTCTGCTTGTTCCCGTAAAGCGGGGGCTGTTTGCCCCAGAAGCTACTCTTGGCTCTCCTGTGACTGATTGGGAATCCGGGAATGAGTGTTCTGGAGAACACACTCCCTCTCTGAGCGAGATCATACCAGTCAGCCTGCTGGCGTGCTCTCCCTCCATTTAACATTGTGAGGCCTTGGCCCAGGTTCCCTCCTGCCAGGCCCAACTGAACGTGTGAAATGGCCTCCATGCCTGTCTAGCCTCTGCCTGCAACTGCGGGGGGAGGACAGGAAACTCAACGGGGCCCAGTGCTTCTCAACCGGGGCGACTTTGCCCCCCATGAGACATGGGGCGACATCTGGAGACATTGTGGATTGCTTTCACAAGGGGCGGTGGCGGGGAGGGGAGGCGGATGTGCTACTGGCATCTCGTAGGTAGAGACCAGGGATGCTGTTCAACATCCTGAAATGCACAGGGGAGCCCTCCACAGCAAGGCCTTATCCAGTCCAAAATGTCCATAGTACGTGGTTGAGAAAGCCTGGTGTTTCCTCCCCTGGCTGTCAGCAGTTTGGGTTTGGAAAATGGCAGATGGGACATGAAAAGAGAGGCCTGTCACCAACCACAGGGCCTAGGCCTGGACGGTACCCTGGCCCTCCCCTGGCTCAGTGGTTTTCAAGGTACTTAGCGACTCCAGCGTCAAGGTTCTCAACAAGCTGCACATCAGAGTCACCTGGGAAGCTTAAGAAATCACACAGGCTTGGACCCCATCTCCAGAGACTCTGAATGTAGTGGTCTCGTATGGAGCCTGGGTTAACCTAACTTACAGCCAGGGATGGAACCACTGTTTGGGGGGTGCCCGTAAGGGTCCTGGGATGGGGAGAGAAATGCCTACCCCTTTCAGGAGAGTACCTTCCATGTTGTTTTACATGTTCTATTCCAATCCTGGCATTTTACACACACACACACACAAATAAGACCCAGAGATCATGCAGCAAGATTACACAACTGGCCCAAGATCATACAGCAACTCATTCGTCCATTCATTTGACAAATACTTCGTGAGTGCCCACCACGTGCCAGGCAGTGTTGAGCCCAAGCCGGACGGGCCGCCGCACCTCCCAGCTGCTCCGGCAGCGCCGCTCTCCTCTGGTCTGTAGTGGCCTCGCGCTCCCTTATGCTCTACCTTTTTTCCCAGGTTCAGCATATGGCAGTTGTCCTTGTTTCGACACTCAGCATGCAGTGGGTCGACCACTTCTGCCTGCTCATGAAGGACCTCTCTCTACCAGATCAGTCTCCTCTTCCCACCCTATGGCGCCCAGCCCACTCTAGAACCCACTCAAGTGGACTTGTCTCCCAGATATGCTACCTGACTTTGCCTGCTCCCCTCAAATTCATTGCGCTCTCAGCGACCACGCTAGTCGTAAAACTCCATATGCTCACAACCTCCTGTCCAGCATCAAATGATGGTTAAGTACTTGGACTATGGAATGGAGCTTCAAATCCCAGCTCTGACTCTTAGTGGATCTTGGGCAAGTTATTTAATTTCTTGATTCCTGTTTCTTCATATTTTAAATACAGATTGTGTATTTCACTGATTTTATGGCCTTATTTTTTCTGTTTACATTTAACATCTCTGAAGAATCCACCTTAAATTGAAGACATGTCACGGCATAATGGTATATATTACAATGGATGATATCTTAAATTCAATTAAATGCACTGGTACTCACCTTACAGGATTACTGTGAGGTCCAAACAGATTCATATAAAATAGTTGGGACTGTGCACAACCTGTAACGAGCCTTCGTTAATCATTAGCCATTTTAACCTCTTAGTTTAAATCTTTCCTAGCCCTGGCCGGGTGGCCCAGTTGGTTGGAGTGTCGTCCCATACACCAAAAGGTTGTGGGTTCGATTGCCAGTCAGGGCATGTACCTAGGTTGCAGGTTCAATCCCTGGTCAGGGTGCATATTGGAGGCAACCAATCGAGGTTTCACTCTCTCTCTAAACTCAATAAAAACACATCCTTAGGTGAGGATTTAAAAAAGAAAAAAAACCTCCCCTAGCTCCCAGCACTTCCTTACCTACAGAATATAGACTTGACCCTTGACGCTGACGTTCAAAACCCTCCAGGAGCGGCAGCTCCCCTGTCTTATTTGGTCCTCAGGGCAGACCTGTCCTAACACAGATCAAGCTGGAATCTCCACCCAAGTGCCTCATGGGCACTCAAACCCACCTTTCTTCCCGACCCCGCCACCCTCTTGTGATCTCTCCCAGGCTTAAGGGCAATGCCAGGATGTCACGTACATCCTCTTCCTTTCATGTCACCTGCTTGCTTCTCACCAGGAAGTGATCTACCTTTGTTATGTTTCTCGGAACCTGGCCCCTACGTGTCCCCGGGAGCCCGATTCTCTTAGCTCTGCCCACCTCACCGCCACTTTGAGTCACTCAGAGCTACTGTTTTCAGAGCTTCAGAGTTGGCCACTGTTTTCTCACGTCTCCTTGCCTTTGTCCAGGCTTGTTCCTATACTTGGGATGCCCTTCTCCTTTGACTCAGACATCACTTCTCCTGAGAAACCTTCCCTGAGCCCCTGAGGCAGTAGGATAGATTATCCATTCCCTAGGCATCTTGCATGTGGCAACTGTTTGATCAGGTCATGGTGTTCCCTTACACATCTTCCCTCTACACTGTGCACTACCCTATAAAGCCATTACTTAAAGTTATCTTTGTTTCCCAATGTCTGGCACATGGTGGATGCCAGGAAGCATCCTGACAACTCCAGTGCCTTCCCTGAACCCTTGTGCAGTACCTCCCTGTGGAAGCTCTTCCTGAGCACGTAGCATAGGAGGCTGGTAGTTTGTATTTCTCTTCCGTGCACATAAGGCCAACTCACCAGAGTGTGGTCGGCCAGGGCTGAGCCCCTCACCAAACAGGGGAGGCTGTGGTAGGTATAGCAGTTGCAAATAATGGCCCTCACGTTCTCTGACATGCCTCCTATCCAGAGGTAGGATTTCTGCATCCTTCCCTTGAACCTGGGCTTTTTGACAGGTTGACCAATGGAATGTGGCAAAAGTGATGCTGGCTCACTTTCTGGCCTCAGACCTTAAGAAACTGGTACCTTTCTCCCTCTGCCTCTTGGAATGCTGACTCCGGAACTCAGCCACCACACTATGAGGACACTCAGCCTCCATGAAGGGTCCACATGGAAGAGTTCAGCCAAACTCTAGCGTCTACTGCCAGACACAGTAGCAATAATGCAGTCCCAGCTGTCAAGTCACTCCAGACTTTCCATGTTTCCAACTAAAGCCCCAGACATAGTGGAACAGAGATAGACCATCCGCGCGGTGTCCTGCTGGAATTCCAGATCCTCAAAGCCCAGGAGTATAATAAAAAAAATTGTTTTCTGCCACTAGGTATTATTTATTACTCAACAATAGGTAACCGGAACAGTGGGGCGGAAAAAGGAGCCTAGAACTCGGCACGGAGGGCCCTCCGCATTGTGGAGCCTCTCCATCGAGTGCTTGAGAGTCCTAACGGCGTGAGTCTGGCTTTCCCCAGAGTGAGTGATCCAGGAGAGGGGGGCAAAAGCCACGCTGTCTCTTAGGACCTAGCTCAGAAGTCACACACCGTCCTTTTCATGATATCCCACCTACGACACAGATTCGCGCTGCTCCTTGGGGGAAGGCACTCTACAACTGTGTCAGTACCAGCAAGGGAGTTTCTCAACAGCCATTTTGGAGACTGGCTACCACACACGTAGGCAGAGTTCATTCTCCAATAACCCCATAAGGTAAAACTCCTAATAGGCTTATCCTGAAGAGGAGGAAACAGAGGCACAGAAACATGAAGTAACTTGTTCAGATTCACAGGATGGTAAGTGGGAAAGCTAGGATTCAAACTCAGGCAGTCAGGCTCCCAAGCTACCGCACTGTAGATGCCCTCAGCACCACGGTAAGACTGCAAGAATATGGTAGATCTAAGAGCACTTCCACTTGGGAAAGCAAACCAACAGATACACACAAGGTGGTGGGCTGCTAACCCTGAAAACTAATGAGGCAAATGCAAATTGGGAAAGGATGAACCTCAGGGTCCTGGCAGATGGAGATGGGATGATTGAGCAGGAGGGTCTTACCCAAAGATCTGGGAAGAGCCAGCCATGTGGGACCAGGGAGTACAAAATGGGGAGGGAAGCCAGGATGGGTTCACCAGGAAAACGCCTATGGATTAGGTTTGGAAACTCCCACCCCCATTAACTCCCAGCAAAGGAGCTTTTTTTTTTTTTTTTAATAGATTTTATTTATTACCCTGGCTGGTATGATACTTAACTATTTTTAGAGAGAGGGGAAGACAGGGAGAAAGAGAGGGAGAGAAACATCGATGTGTGAGAGAAACTCAATGTGCAAGAGACACATTGATCGGTTGCCTCTCACACCCCGTTTGGGGACCTGGCCTGCAACCTAGGCATGTGCCCTGACTGGTAATTGGATTGGTGACCTTTCAGTTCACAGGCTGGCACTCCATCCACTGAGCCACACCAGCCAGGGCCAAAGGAGCTCTCAATGTCAAAAATCTTTGCTTCACCCTAGCCACATGATTATATCATCCATTTGTTCAACAAAGATTACAGAGTACTTTTCATCTGGGCCAGGCATTAGATTGGGCATGGGGGACCCAGTAATGCCCAGGCAAG